CATGACCACCGAGCCCCACCTACCCAGATGGTCATTAGGGCAGAGAATCGGTTGTTAAATTATTTGAATCCCACCACTGGCTCATAGCCATATAAGTCATGAGCTCATTGTGGTTCATCTTTGCCTCCATAGATATCCTTTCCTACCGGCTTCTGAGCTGTTAGAAGGATGAAGAGAGGCCTTCCATCACCTGCTCTTGCAAAATTCTGCTTTCCATCTGATATTGCCCATCGATCACTGATTTTCTACATTACAGTGGAAATCTTTTCATCATTGAAAGTTGTGAGTCTCTAGTGGCCAACTGCTATGATTAGCATGGCCGGATATAAAAAAATACAGATATCCCTCGACCTAGGAACACAACTGAAACCAAACTTTCTGCTGCTAAGCGAGACATTTGTTTAAGTGAGTTTTGGCCCCATTGACATCCTTTCTTGCCACAGTCGTTAAGTGAATCACTGCAGTTGTTAAGTTAGTAACATGGTTGTTAAATGAATCTGGCTTCCCCATTGACTGCTGGTCAGAAGGTTGCAAAGGGGGGAATCGCATGACCTCGGGACACTGCAGCCGTCATAGATATGAGTCAGTTGCCAAGTATCTGAATTTTGATCATATGACTATGGGGAATGAAGCAACTGTCATAACTGAAAAACGTTCATAAATTACATTTTTCAGTGCTGCTATGTCTTTGGTCACTAATTGAGCTGCTAAAAGTCAAGGACCACCTTTGACTACCCCAAACAAAGCGGCAAGGTTGCTCCACCCACCTACAGCCACTTCACATGTTCCCCATCTCATGAATATTTCTCTTTTATTTTCCCCTGCCAGTTAGGACCACTGGAAGGGAGTCAAGGATCTTTCTGAGTACTTATTCTAGAGACTGGTGCATTGCATCCTGATTAGCTTCTGAAAGAAGAATCTTCTAAAAATTAAATCGGGAGAGACAAAAGAATCTGGTGGACCCTTAAGGGAGTATATGCGTTACCCAAAGGCCACCAAGTTGTTTAACCTAATCTATAGATTCATATGTCAGCAACTCAGCAAAGATGCAGATGGCTTGGAACTATAGGAGACTTATGTTGCTCTTTTTCTCAGTTCAGTCTTGGATAATTCTCAGAAGCAACTTAGACTATATTAAGGTGCTCGTGGCCGTGTTGGTGTCGTTTGAATGTTTTTGTCCCTCGGAGGTCCTGCTGGTAGTTTTAGGTAGGCCAGCCTGTTCCTTAGCATTTCAGCTGTTCCGTTTGAAAAAAATGCATAGCTTTCTTATTGGCGTTTTAGCGTAAAAAATGAAAATTGCTCCACTGCAGAGGACAGTCGTTAACAACTGGATTGTCTGTTTCACGGACGACAGCCGGTTAAATGTAAGAACACTGTGCAAATCCACTTGTAAGCAATAAAGTTTACATAAAGAATCCACCAAAAAAGGCTATATTAAGGTTGCACTAAAAAAAATTTTTAGTGCACAATTGTATAGTAGATGTTCAGACAAATGGAATTTGAAATGCATAAAGACATGTTTTAAAAGACGATAAAACAATTGCAGTAGGTGCCATCATATTGAGCCATACAATTCCTTAGTCCCATTAAGCCCATCAGGGCTTATAGAATATAATAAAACATCAAAATATATATTACTACTACAACAAATCACAAATGATTTCAAAACAAGAAATCCGCAACAAAACAATATATATGGAAGGCAGAGCCAGACTGTAGAGCTGAGGCAGTTTAAATTGCCATCATAGCTTAAGCAACTGGAAAAGTAGGTCTTAATCACTATAGGCAATCATCTTAAAAAGTGCTCACGATTGGGACACGCAACTGGTTGTTAAGTGAGGCCATACCCACTATGCTTGTGAGCTTTCTTCAGCATCCCTTTGCTTTACAGACCTGAGGTCATAAGTGTGATGTTTATTTTTATTTATTTGTGTATTTTTTTCTCAACAAGTACAAGGAAACAAGTATGAAAACACATGGGAAAAAATGGCACAAGTAAATGGATATAAATAAGCAAAACAGGCATAATCACATAAAAAGAGTATGTGGACAGTAGGACAGGGACAGTAGGCACACTGGTACGCTTATGCATGCCCACTTAACAGAGGTGGGTTCCTACCAGTTCGCACCTATTCGGTAGAACCGGTTCGTCAAATCTACCGAACCGCTTAGAAGAGGTTCCACCAGTGGACCCGGAAAGCAGGCCACACCTACAGAAGAGGTTCTAAAAATTTTTGAAACCCACCACTGCCACACATACACAGACACACAAAGAGAGAAAGAGANGGGCAATATGCTGACTCTGTAAACCGCTTAGAGAGGGCTGAAAGCCCTATGAAGCGGTATATAAGTCTAACTGCTATTGCTATTGCTATAATCACTCTACTGAATATTAGTATTTTAGAACCACTGGCTACTAGTGTTTTAGAAAAGGACCAATTCAAAATGGTTTCTTATTTATTGAATGGGGTAGCAACACAAACTTTCTCTGAGCTGATGTTGGATAGTGAGAAGAAAACTTTCAAAATTTCAAGCAAGTAGGTAGGAAATTCTGAATCCTAGAAACAGGAAACTGAGTTAGGAAAGCAGTCGGTTGGAAATCACTATCAAATTATACCAATGCTAGTTGCCCAGCAGAGAATATAATTAGACAATTAACTGATGAGAAATTAAATAAAAATGCAAATCTTATAACTTTCTGGCCCTTTCAGGTGGGCACCTAAAAAGTATTGATTTCCAGAAAATATAGGGTTAAAACCATGGTGAGATACTATTCAGCAGGGATGCCTCATCTTACCAAAAGTGATAGAAGATTACTAGATTATTAGACAACATGAGTTATATAGAGCCATTGTTTTAGAGATATTTTTTTACCTAAATAGAGAAAAACAGTATGACCAAGGGTGAGTCAAAGAGAAAGGGGAGCAGGAACAACTTCTTATCTGCTTCTCCTTGTGGGAATTTGGCAGGCAAGTAAGTGGCTTTTTCTGAGTAGGAAAGGCAGTGAGGGATTTCAAGAGTTGCTGGGAAACTGTCACAGAAGGCTGAAGAAGAAAACAGCACAGCAGTGCAGCAACTACCAATAGCACAGAAACGGCTACAACGTCCCCAAATTTTATTCTTTAGGAGTTGTGGGTCCTGGATTCAGGATGCATTCTGTAAATTTGTCCATTTGAGGTGACCCATATTCAAAAAATGGTTGCCCTGTAATGCATCATTTCATCCAATTAAAAGCATTTCAATTCAGTAATATATAGATAGATGAAGGATCTTTCATGGAAATGATGGCTATGATCTCTTGTAAGTGGAAAACATAAGATGGCTAATTTTTTAAAAAAAATAAAAACTTCCTTTCTAGCAAGACCAAGATTCTCTATCCCAAAGAGAACACTTGGCCACAGATATGGCAACTGAAGATACCGAAGTATATCAAAGGCGTATCAGAGGTAAAGTGATTTTATTAATCTATTGAAACTTGATGTAACAAGACTACAATCATTTCTCTACTAGCAATTAACAGCCTCTTCTAAAGCATTGCTTCTCAAACCTGACAAATTTAAGAGACAAAGATTTCAAATTCCAGCCAGTTTTGAGTATTCCACCCATTGAGCTTTATAGTGTATATCTTTATTATATGATGTATGTATGTATGTATGTATGTATGTATGTATGTATGTATGTATGTATGTATNTATTCTTATGCATGCCAGTGCTGTGTGTGAGGTAATTTAAGGTGGTTCTGACAAGTGTCGTCGGCATCTTCATATCCGGTCACATGGGTGGCAAGCCACTCCCATCCGGTCACATGGGGCGGCAAGCCACTCCCACACAGGAGGCCACACCCACAGAGTAGGTTCGAACAATTTTTGAAACCCACCACTGCCCCTTAGGGACCTCTTAAATGCGTAAGGTCCACAGGTAGAGAGCTTAAGGTAAAAGGTATGGGGGTTAGAGGAACTAACAACAGGATCAGGTAGGGCAGTGATGGCTAACCTTTTTGTCGAGGTGTGCCAAAAGCGGGAGGAGTGGGGGGGGGGGTCACGCGCACATGTGCCCACACCCATAATGCAATGCCCTCCCCCGCACATGCACGCACACACACCCTGAGCATGCATGCAGCCCTCACTGAAGCCTCTGGATGTCCAGGAGGTGCGTTAGGCCATTTTTTTCTCCTCTGCAGGCTGTGGGGATGTTTGCTTTCTCAGTAGCTGGCAAACCATGCTGAGGAATGCAAACGTCAGCACAATGATCACTAACCTCCTTCCTTAATAAGTGTGAAACATGAGGTTTGGCACGTAGGCACATCACATCGCTTGCAGCAGGAACCCATGAGCTGTCCATTAACCTTCTCACGTGGATAACAAACCACAGCAAGGACTTTGTCTAGCCAATCCAATCAATACAAGTGTACTTTGATCAATGAATCAGTTCTTGCCATGGAGACTGTATGACAATAAAAGGGAGCTCCCACGAGCTGTTTGGGGTGCCTTCCCACTAACCTTCTTCCTGCCTGTGTGTTTTTCTTCATCACAACAACAGCAGGCTGCCTCCGGAGGGAGAAAAATGGCGCAATGGGCAACCCAGAAGTTCGTTCCCAAACTTCCGGTGGGTTGCGTTGGGCAGTTTTTCGCCCTCTGGAGGACGAAAAACAGGCAAAAATCAAGACCAAAAATCAACTGGCCAGAATGCGCATGTGCGCTGGAGCTGGGAGGGCAGCACCTTATGTGCCCTCTGAAATGGCTCCGCGTGCCACCTATTGCCATCACGGAAATAGGGTGTTCCACACATTCACTACTCTATTGGTGAAATCATTTTTTCTGCAATCAAGATTAGAATGGATTACATTTAGTTTGTATCAATTGATAGTCCTTGTGTTATTGCAGTTGAAGTAAAAGTAGTCATTAACAGGTAGGACATTATGACAGATTATCTTGTGCACTAAGCTCAGGTTGGAATGTAGACGGTGTAGTTCAAGGTAGTAAATGTTCAGTGTTGGTTGTAAAGTTATTTTTTTCAATCCTACCATCCTAAAACTGCAAACAGTCATTAAATGAGGCAGTTGCTAAATGAGGAGTACCTTTTCTCCAAAAAGAAAAGATGCTAAACAGGCCTCTTAGGAGTGTATGTTAGAGCCCAGAGGAACCAATACTGTCTAGGTATTGTCAAAATACATCCACTAGTCGATGTTGAAACGTACCACAGATCCTGATTGAAGCAGGGAGAGGAGAAATGAATCTGATAGAATCAGCTGCAAAGCATCTCCAGAAATCACAAGGAGCCAGAAATTAAGGAGTATTCCCTAAAAACAGATAACAACAGAATCACCCATTGAAGAATTGCTAGTAGCAGTGAAGAACACAATTGTGATTCTAATCTTCTTAGTTTTCTCTGTGTAAATGTGATGATGGACAATTGGTTACTATGTATTTCTTCATAGATAGTACCAGAAATATAAGTCACACAGGGTTGTCAAAATATCTTTTTACATCTGTGGAGATTCTCAATCATCCAGGTCAGGCTGTCCCAAAGTTCCCTTTCCAAAAGGCACCTGGCCTTCCCCCCCCCCCCCACTTTGAAAATGTTTCGCTTTCTCATCCAAGATTTCACTTCTCAATCTTCAGGACAATATCTTTTTACAATCACATTGTAAAATTCCATTGTAAAAAGTTTCAATTTTGTTAAGGCATTGCTTGTTCTATGCAAAGCATGAAAAACCCTACTCAATAGGCCATTCTCCCATAATGGTAGCTTGGGGAAACCCTTAACCGTAATAAGATTTATTTTAGGCAGAAAAAAATGGTAGGCAACTTTAAAGCCAAACCTGATCTGCTAACTGCTAGCAAGGAAGGCCTGTTAGAAGCATAGCTGCAGGGGCTAATTTAAATGTTGGCTACCTTATAAGATGGTCAGCTGAGACCTCAAACCAATTAGTAAGTTTCTCCAATGGGAGAACAGCAAATAAAGATAAAAAGGAAGTTCAGTGGGAGGCTTTTGTGAGGCTCAAATATGTCTAATCAGAGGAATGGCCGGAGAGGTGGAATAAAATCAGCTCTTTGTTGTTTGAAAGTCAAAGGTTTGTTGGGAGTTTATTTCCTTGGAATGATGAATAAATGTAGACCATTAGCAATGTAACATTAGTTTTGGAGGAAGATTTTTTTTTAATCAAGAGGTTGTTACTAGAGAAGGAAATGTTGAAATTTAGCAATACCTTAGAACCCTTATTGCATCTCTAAGTTAACTATGATTTCATTTACTACTGCTTTTGCTGGGTTGAGAAATAATGATTTAAAGGATTAAATGGGAAGTTGTATTTTAAATAGTAAAAGGTAAATTTGCTCCTGCTTTACACTCCACGGAGTGTTAGGAGAATAGGAAGCTTTCAAATAAAAGTCTGTGGACATTCTCCATCATCCAGGGCATGGTTCTCACAAAGGCAACTGAACCAAGTTAAGTCTTGGTTTCAAAACATTTCATTTCTCCATTAAATGCTTCCATTCCCCTCCAGCCAGAACTGAAAAGCTGCTTGGATAAGATGCAAAATGTTTTCTAACCCACCCACCCCCCACCCTGAAAGTCCAATTGCCTTTTGGACAAAAAAAAATAAAAAAGCACCTTTGGGACTTCCAGATAGAACAATTCCAACTCTATTCTTTTCTATACTCAAGACTGGTCCTGGAGCTCTAGGTTCTTTGTCAAGCATGAGACTTTAATCATTGGTTAATTCTAGCCACAGTTGCCCGAGATTGGATTTAAATGGAGACCTTTTCTATGCAAAGTGGGTGTGTTTTCCCCTCCTTTCCAACGGAGCTGTAACTCATTAAGAGTTTATAGGTTTTCAAGTGCAATCATTGCACTTGTATACTGTTGCCTTTTTAATTCTAGTGTAGAAATAAGAAGCTGAATATATTGATAGATAGTAGAAATACACCGAAGGGAGGAGCAGAGGGAAAGAAGAAAGAAGGGTAGAGTGGGTGGGAGAGAGGATCGGAAGGAGGGTGAGATGGAAGGGAGGGAGTGTATTGGGAGAAAGGAGTGATAGAGGGGGAGGGGAAGTAGGGTAGAGGGGAATATTGGAGGGGAGAAAGGAAAGTTGGAGGGGGGTGAAAGAAAGGGTGTATGGAGGGTTGAAGTGGTATATTGGGTTTGTATTTTGGGGAGTATTTTTGACAAGGATGGCTGTGTTTATTTCTCAATGTTATATGGCCCCGGTCATGCACAGTATACATGTGACTGTATGAAATGAAAATGAAAATAAAACATATTTGAGAGAGAGAGAAAAAAAAGAGTTTATAGGTTTTAATCTTCTGATTAGTTTTTATACTTGAACCTTAAGACAACGGAGAATGTTTTAATCAGGGCTTCATCTGCCTGCAACGAGAACTGGCTTGAGTTTGCCTTGGAAACCTTTAACTAACCTTGCAGATTTTCAGTGAGTTGCAAAGATGTTAACACCTTTTGCACTATGTTCATTGCTATGCTATTACACAAACATTATGGGTGCTACTTGTGCTGGAAAAACAGGGTCTCTGCTTCATGTTCTCAGTTTTTCAAGAATTGTATTCTCCTCAGGGACTGTGATGAATCCACCACAGCAACATCAGCAGGAAGAATCCCATTCAAATGATGATGGCTCCATTGATCCAGGAAGTGATGTACAGGTAAATCTGAATTATATTCTTACTCTATGCACTCTGGCATAACCCCAAAGGCTGTAAATACTAAGTAAGAATTGAGATTTCTAAAGATCTCTATGAGATGTTACATGAGGAAGGATATGTAGATATACAAGATAAGCTAAGCTACTTGTTTTAAACTTAAAGTTTACTATTTGAAACCTGTGAATATTGTAGGTTGCATGAATTGCTCAGCTATTAATATCATTGCTAATAGCTGCTGATACTGAAATACTCCCTGGGAAAATGAAACCATTAACTACCATACTCAGTATTTGGCAACTGTTATACCAAACTGGCTTCCTTTCTCCACATCCTTATTGTCCAGCTTCTATTCCAATGAAGAGTTTTGAAGAATTAAAAAAAAACCTACTTAATGATTTTGTGATCTGTTGATGACAAGGTCTTTGTCCACTTACGATCCAAGACTGAATGCACCGATTCTGTTGAAACTGTGCTTTAAAAATGGTCAAAATCTGTCCAAGGGCAGAAAGTTATGGAAATATAGAAAACCATAGGTGGACCTTGTCACTGGAGTTCAGTACCGTAGTAATTGTGGGTGCAAGTGTAATGTGTTTAAGAGAAAATATTGTCAACTGTAATAAGAGCCGAGGTGGCGCAGTGGTTAAATGCAGCACTGCAGGCTACTTCAGCTGACTGCAGTTCTGCAGTTCGGCTGTTCAAATCTCACCNGCCTTACTCCCAAGTCGTCCCTTCTGTCTTAACTATTCTTGCCTTCTGGCAGCTCTGCGCACGTGCGCACTGGGAACAGGGAGGAGCCTGTTCGTCTGCCTTGCTGCTGTCCGACTCTGGAGGTTCCAGAGGCAGCACATAACTCCCAGATGGCCCTGAGCTCTTTCTGCCTCTGATGCAGAGCCCTCATCCAAGACTTCCCAGACTTCAGGACTGGCCCATGTTCCTCCCCAACCTCCTCACTGTCCGACTCTGTTGCCAGCTCCGCAGGCTGCTGGCAGACCACAACACCAAAGTGAGCCAAATGCTTATTTTTCAATTTTTGTAGCCACTCAACTCCACCAAGTAACTCTTGGGTGGCTTACAATTCTAAAGGGCAAATTTATTGTGTTATCAAGGAGGAAGTTGATCGAATTAGAGATGCTGCAGAGTAAATCACAGCTCTAATTTGGAGGACATTCTGCAAATGAATGCCCCTGTTTTAATGGTATCGGAAGTGTATGATGCTGATCTGATACCCTCCCCCTTTTTTTTTTGTTTAGAACTTGAGCATGAGTTGGAGAATGCCAGGAGGGACAACGGCAAGTTAGTTTGCCTGCTGAATGAAATTGATCAACTTGTATTACCAGAGGTAGAACTGGCTGTTTGAATTGGGGATTTCCATTGAAAACACAAGATTGGGATGTTGCATCTTTGCTTTCTTGAAATAATATATAAATCTAAGATTAATCTTAAATTAAATGCATATAAATCTAAGATTGTACAGTGGTACTTGGGCACTCATCATTAATTGTTTCTGGGAGATATGATGAGTACCGAAAATGATGAGTACTAAACAATTTTTTTCCATGATAAGGAATAATGTGATGCACAAGACGACCAACAGCAACAAGTTCTAGCTTGTGCTTTGAGTGGCAAACAAACAATGAGTACCAGGGCAAAATTTTCACATCAAAATGCATTGAGTACCACATTCAATGAGTTTTAAAGCAATTGAGAACCAAGATACCACTGTAGGTAGGACTGGTAGGTCTATGTGGACAAAGCATCTTCTAATATAGAAAATGCATCTCCTGCATATACTTCTGATGCTTCAACAGTTACTGCATTTAGGTGGTTGCTGTTATAAGAGACTCACTATCTTTGATTATGTGTCCATGAAAAGAAAGCCTAGGTTTGACTCCTGTTTTGTGCTTCCTTTGGATGAAGCTGTCTGAATGTGTAGAACTAAGACTCTCAGAGAGGCTGAGAGTGTACCTCGAATGCCTGTTCATGGAAAAGCAGGAACTAGAAGGCAGAGCATTCACAGCAGAGAGGACCGTGGAGGAATTAGAGCATACAGGTAGGAGAAATCAGAGATTAATCTTCCCAAATAATTCAGAAAGCAAAAACTCTTCTGATAGTAAAAATCTATACTGCAAACAAAGTCACTATGATTTGAAGGCCAAATTGGCAAGATAAAAATGTTTTTAAATTTGAAAATGTTAAAAAGTCTATTTCAAGAAGAGGTGATATGACTTTTTTTTAAAGACACAGCTAATTCGGACTCTCTTGCCTGTTCCACAGTGGCTGTTCTTCAGGGGCAACTGCAAGATGCTACCTGTTCTTTAGCACAGCCAGGAGAAAGCCAGCAGCATGCATCCTCGCCTCCTCAGCCTTCTCCTACCCAGTCTTCTAGCAGGTAAATTGCATAGCCAGAAATATTGTCAAAGTTGCAAAGTTAATTCAGAGCAACACTATGGTTACATGATTCTGTTCCTATTAAATCTGTTTAGCAGCATTCATCATGACCTACTCATATTGACTGAGCTTCTGCCACAATTATAACTTGAAAAAGTCCCATCACTAAATGGATAACTGTTCTGACCCCCCCCCCCCTTCTCCATCCAGGAATGAAAGCCAAAACAGACGTACAAAAGAATGTTT